TCTTAGTCATGTTTCTCTAAGGCTGCTCTGTAACAATCTTCCACCAGTAGTCATGTCATATTATACCAAACAAATGTAAAAGTTAAGGTTGTCTCTTTAAACAAATCCCATAAAAGACAAAAAACAACAATGTATAATACCATTTCAAAGTACGTCAATATGTCATTGCCCTGACTGTTGCATTAGATAAAACCGGTCACATTGATATTGATGTATTTCTGACATGATAAACAATTTTCACAAACAGCTGAGCACAGGATGTTTTAGCAACTGTTACCTAAGCATGCATGAAAAGGGCATTTGATGACTGTTTGGATCTGTGGATTTGGCAAAGCCTTTTCAGATAGAGGAAAGTAAATGTGGAAAGGACTCAACATAAACCATCATACCCATGTGTCATTGTAATAAAAAAAACACGTCACACAGAGTGTGAATCTCATCATTTTGGACAAAAGAGGTCAATGACAGAGAGAATGAGCTGAGTTAAGCTTTAGCTACACAGACAATACTTGTTATGGGGACCCATTCACTGCTGACTTTTTGTCGTTAGGGGTTTTTGAATGAGGAAAGTAAATTGCTAGACTGTCTTTGTCAAAGCATAATGGAAAGAGGTTTATGTTATTAAAGGATATTTCAGATGAAGTTACCTCAACTGAGGTGGGCATGGGATTCATCGTTTTTCACAGACGGTATTTTTCACTCCAGTTCAGTATGTCCAGCACCTGATTTAAACTTTGAACTGAACATCTCTGTTGTGTATCAACATCATTTGGACGTGGTTTCCTCTCAGGAGGAGCCTCGTCTTGAGTTTCTATTCCATTACCAAATTGTCTGTATAACACTGTGGGGAGAGCACTGCTTTTAAAGGGGATAAGAGATGCCCAGGTGATTGACCTCCATTGTTGCTTATGCACTGTTAATGTATGATAATGGACTCCTCTTAATCCAAACCTGTCCCCAGTTGGGCTGCAGGTGCAGCGTGCACCTCCACCTGCTGTCCAAAAATAAGCGACACTCCCTCTGGCACTACTCACCAAACTGTTGTTTACACCATGTACCTACAATGACAAACCCATCAGCCACACTTGTCGACATCATTGTGAATCATTCGCGAGTGAGTAAGATACAATGAGACAACTTACATAAAGATGAGATGGAATTAAAAATAACTGAAGGGGCAGCTTGCTCTTCCTGTTTTATTGTTTAGGATCATGTTTTGAACATCAGATCTTTTTTGATTATTTGCAAAAAAAAATCTACTCAAGTTGAAGTCCTTCATAGGCCTGAGCAAATTTACTTGCTGGTGGTCACAGCAGGCCATTAAAATATCTTACAATAAACGTTTGCTATGATTTATTCTTCCTCATCCAATAGATGCAGTGTTTTGGTATTCTCCTCTCTCCATGTGTCAGTGTCTGATGAAAAATGTCTCTCCACTTCCTACTTTTCTCTCATTTATCTTCTTTTATTGTCCCCCCCTGTCCTCCCCCACCTCCCATTCTGCCCCAGATGAGCCTGGACAGTTGAAGATCTACCTTCCTAAGAAGCTGCTGGAGTGTCTGCCAAAATGTTCCTCTCTGCCCAAGGAGCGCCATCGCTGGAACACCAACGAGGTGAGAATGAGACACACTCGAGAGGGAAATATCTGTGACAGTGAGACGAACTCAGTGTTTTCTGCTGGTGACTCATCCCTGGCAAATGTCACATTGAGAGATGAAGAGGAGGTAAACAAACACAATGGCAGCTTTTCATTATGGGACCCTAAAACTGTGACACCAAAAAATAAAAAAGACAAAGGGAGCTCACAGCCAAAAAAATCCCACTGACTGTACATTCTCGCTTTCTTTTTTGCTTTGTAATCCAAACACCTCAGTGTTCAGGCGTAAGAATTGGGGGACCGGGGTATACAACTATACAGGGCTTAGAGGCTGAGAAACAAGAAATGAGGGAACAAGATTGAATGTTTCCAGTGCTGATTGTTACTGGGTTCAAACACCCTGTGGTCAGTCGGATAAAGATTGTGATCTGAAGCTAACGTTGTTGCTATGCAACCTTAGAAAGCTGTTAAATGTGTGGCACATTTCTGCTCTGGATGCTTTTTCTGTGTTAAATGAAAATAAGGCTGGAGTTGAATTGTGTAATGTTGTCCTCCAAAATAAGAAACAGAGAAAAATCAAAGGCTCTCTGTGAGGTGTACTCTACAAACACAGTTAGCATGCACACAGAGGATTTGATCAGCAAAGTTAAAGTAACTTCACACACAGCTTTTTGCTCTCCATTTACTCAATGTTGACCACATTTTAAAACTTTAAGCGGGCTTTGACTTTGACGGTATAACTCAACCTTATGGCCACCACTCATTAACATAGGGCAGGGTTTACCATTGCTAAGGGACAACATTAGCATGGTATTTGCTGCATGAACAAAAGATGACTGAAACTGTGTCATGCTGGCTAAATGGTAAAATGAGGCTAAATTAGTTTGGGACAAGCCTTTACTGAGGGCCACTGATAACCCTGGGCTACACATTTTGGGTGTGAAAAAGCTTTTCAGAGTTGCATGTTGTTCCAGACTTAAGCTGTTAGCTTAGGGAAGTGTTTGATGGCTGGAAATTGACGCAGGCATTTATCGTCAACAGCTCCTTGTTTATGCATTGCACAGATCTCCACTGGTGGTTTGCTCCATCCATTGTGATGTGGTTGGCCTCTGCTGAGACATTTTCTCCATGTGCAGGCTGTGCACTCCATTACGGATGTGTGTTTGTGTTATTGATTACCAAGTCCAGCATTGTTATGCAATGCAAAGCTGATTTGGCCTGTGGTTTTTCTCTCAGGAAAGTCATTACATTTTTCATGCAATCCATCTCAAAGAAGGTCATATTGGGAGTTAAGCATGGCGCCTACTGAACAGTATGCTCCCATGAATAGGCAGTGTCTGTGTGTGTGTGTGTGTGTGTGTGTGTGTGTGGCTCAGGAGAACATGACCGCTGCTAGTTAGGGACTTACGCTTTTCAGCCTAACCAAGAGCAATTGTGCATAAGCACAACGACAAGACCAAAGCACCTTGTTGCTGCCCCCTCTCCTGCTCCTTCTTTCTCTTCTTCAGTCTCCCTTCAACCTACAATCTCGTCCTCTCTATCTTTATCTGTGCCCCCCCCCTCCCCCCCTTCTTTCTCTCTCCATGGCTCTCTCTTCCTGATGAGGAGGTACAGCCTCAGTTCAGGGGGAGGTTGGGTGTCCCTCAGCGAATTCCTTCAAAGCTCCTCTTCCACCCAGGCATAAAGTTTCCTGCATACTTAAACACTCCATTGTGTCTGCTGCTCCTCTCTGCTCTCTGCCTTCATAGGGGGAGCTGTGTGTGTACGTTGGCTGTGCCTCTCTAGTGCATGTATGTATTTCAGTCGGTGTGTTTCTTCCCATGTGTGTGAGTGTGTCTGTCAGGAATATGAATGACTCCAGATGACTGTGCGTGATTATTTTGTAGATGGTATGACAAAAATAATTGATGAATTTAATGTGTTTGTTGATTTCCATCGGTTTCTACTGCAGACTTTAGGAGTAGTATAGTAGTTCTCAGCAGAAAGCTTTTTAAATATTTATTTCTGGGGCTTTTTTTTTTTAGATAGGACATTGGCTTATTGGAGGAAGACAGGATCTGTACATTGTGCGTACAAATTAACCGTTTGTCAAACCAGTGCCCCAAGCAGAAAACCTTTTACCTAAAAATCATTATTGGCGAACAAATGTTGTTATAACTACGCAGGGTGTGTATATTTAAAACAGATAGTACTGTTTTCTAACAGGATTTAACCTGTCACATATGAAGCTTTCAATTTATTTTTTTAGTTGCATCGCCATAATGTGTGTGTATTAAATAGACTAGATATTGCTCTTGAAGTGTGGTGATGCGTAATTGACGATTGGCATGCTGGAAACACCCTGTAACTGTTTGGGTTTTGTTTGTGTTTAGTAAATTTCTACTCTTGTGGGGCTCTATGGAATTTTTCCCGTTTTAATACGCTTACACTTTAACCTCATCCTCTGTGTAAAATGTCTGAATATGAAATTAGGACTATCTGTAGTGTTTTTTTTAGAATGAAAAAGAGCAGAGTATGATGGATAGAGATATTTCCAATCTGTGTTTGAATGAGCATACCTTTGATAAAGTCAGGCCCAGTCTGTGAAAGTCTTTATCTGATATGTCCTTATTCTCACCTTTTTCTCGGCATACGTATGTCTTGTGTGTGTGTGTGTGTGTGTGTGTGTGTGTGTGTGTGTGTGTGTGCTTTTTGTGTGCGCGTGTATATTTTTTTAACATGTGCGCAATTACATATGATCCTCTGATCTCTGTTTTGTCACGCATGGTTCCCCCCCGACACCTTGGCCTCCCACCAAGCGGAGCCCATACATTTTCACCCCATCCCCTACTCCACCTCTACCTCCTTCTTCCCTCTCTTCCTTCTCACATTATCTCTCTCTCCCTCTCTCTCTCTCTCTCTCTCTCTCTCTCTCTTTTGTGTATCTACTGATGTGTGAAATTATTCTGGGATGGAGGGATGGATTCCTCCCTGAAGGGCTGAGCGGAGGCGTGAGCCTTTTGTTCAATAATAGATTGGGGGTGTATGTGTAGCTGTCCATGGTAATAGACTATAGACTAGTTTTAGATAACAAACCACACTCAGGTGGACAGACTGATGGTGGAGCGTTTTTTTATCCACCCATCGGGAATGACTTGTTGTTTGGTTTCAGCAGATTCTATGGAGCGCTGTAATAAGAAGGCAATCAAACTTTTTGAAAATGTAGACAAAGACAAACTTCAGAGCTTTAGACTCCAGCTCATGATGATATATGATTACTCTTTTGGGGGACCCCTGACGTCCTGACTCATATTTTTTAAGAAGTCAGGCAGAGTTGAATTCTGGGTAAATTGTCTTTTGCAGAAGCTTTAATTAAAACAGGATATTATGCATACAAAATATGCAAACGTGCACTTCCTTTGCATTATTCTCACATGCATTTTCAAGGCTTGTACTTCAGAGCAGCCCCCTCACTGTGATTCAAATGACGCAACTGTCAAACAGATTGGTACAGACTTCAGAACATCACTCAGACGACAGCTGTCTGTGCCACAATGCTATTACTGCATGCTAGTTGGACCGACACATTGCTCAACTTTAAGAAGAGAATAGAAGATGACACTATTTTCCGTGTTATTTTTATTGAAATAATACTTTATGAAACACACTATGTTGTATTGTCAAACTCCTTTCATAGTATGCATTGATATTTGGTAGCATCGTGGTGTGAAGGCAGCTAGTTAACAGTTCACACACGCTCGTGTCTGGCTGTGCTGCTGCAATGACACTAACATGATTGCCTGAATGAGAAGCAGATCGAAAAAAAGCATATACATTTTAGACCACTGCCCCATCTGCCTCCTCTGTGTGTGTCTGAGCATCAAGGGTCAGTGTTGCCAGGGTAACAGATTGGGTGTGTGCATGTGTGTGTGTGTCTGTAGGTGTGAGTGTTCCTACTAATGGTGTGATTGATGTTGCAGGTGAGACACAAACGCTGGTACATCAGGAGGTGATGAGACAAACGTGACACAGTCAGTACGACTGCTTGTGATGCCAAACATGTATGACAAAAACAAACAGAGGAATTATGTGAAGGACTATAAGCTTGAGCTTTCATGTATTAATGTCAGGTATCCAGTCAGGTATCCAGTCACATTCACTTGTGCGTGCGCTCTTGCATTTCAGTTTGTGTGTGAGCCCAAACACAGCTTTTAGTGCACGGTTCTCTGTCTATGTTTTATTTATTATTCATGTCATTATTGTTGTTTGTGAGCCATTAAATAGAAACATTGAACTGAATATGCACCAATTTCCATTCCTACGTGCCTGTGTAGCATCATTTCTCATTTTCTCCTGGAGGTTAAACAGGAGAAGTGTCTGGGAAAAAGAAGTTACACAGGAAGGTGGGATAATGTTAAATGTCAGACGACATGAAAAAAACACTGTAGAGTAAAGTTAGCAGACAGCCAGTTTCAGGCCTCTATTCAGATATTCTGCAGTGAAGGACACCCTTGATTTATGAATCTGATTTGTGAATCGCTAATGTCCAGCTCACACTGGCAAATGGCCAGTAATGATTAACCCACTCTGTTTGGTCTGCTTTGTCAGAACAAAGACAACAATAACACCCCTTTGTAAACCTACCCAATGTTTCAATTTGGAAATGCACTACAATGCATTGGGTAGTGCTGCATATGCATTTATTAGACATCATGATCATGAGAAACTTAGTGTTTCCTTGTCAGTGTGTGTATACGTGTGTGTGTGTCCCTGAGCCTGCCTGTAGCTCTAACCTCTCGAGTTGACATTGAGCTCTGTGCTGTTGCCGTTTACCAGAGTAAAGCATGCTTTAATGAGGGGACAAAGAAGGCACACACACTTGCACACACACATGCTCACAGACATGTATATACTCACACAAAAATGCACACACACCCTCACTTTACCAGAGGGTTGTTTCACAGCTCCTTACATTTGATTCCTATTCTTTTATCTTTAATCATTCCTCGTCTTTTGGGTTTGAGAGATATTTTATGT